ATGAATTAATACACTAGACACATGGTTTTATTTGAACACTTTATTATGACATCGTAAAGTGATGAATAAGAACCCTAAACACATGGCTTTATTCGTAGGCCTAGAGGCTAGGCCTAGCCTAGGTATCATCGTTCGTTCGTACATACGTTTATTGAGCGTTACGTACGTATTAGGTCAAAGGTTGCCACAAATTTAACCCAACCTCTATTTTACGAATCCCCCGATTTACGTACGCCCTCTGGTCCCGTACCGTACGTAAAATCGAGGTTCTACTGTACAAACTAAACTAGATATGACCCTTCACTAAGGACGAGTTAGGTGATCCGCTTGTCAGGTAAAAGAAATCTTTAGGCCCTTGAAAGTATGAATTATGGAAAAATAATGTCCGATCAATCACAAAGATCTCTATGATCATATTTAGAGGGGATTTCCAACAAACTTTCACGATCGCCTTTTTTTTCAATTTTAAGTATTTTGAGTTTATACAGATGATCATTCTAAGTAATGATTTTTTTTTTCAAATAAACTATTTAAACATTACTGTACATTATTGCCATTACTACTAATAAAGCATGTCGCATGAATGGCGAGGTCGGTTAAGCATGCGTTCTAAATAACGTAAGGTTGTGGGTTGGAATTGCGTATAGGTATTCAATATTTTTTTTCCAATTTTAAGAATTTATTTTTGTTCAATTTTATGTATCTTAAATTTTAATTCCAAATTTTTTTTTTGTACATATAAACATTCTGTTTATTTAAAAATTCCTATCTTATTAGCTCTTACATAAAACCCAATATAATAACTTGTGCCTGTACTGTATTTAATCGTGGAGGATAGTGTAAAATCAAGGACTTCTAACTGTTACCAGGATAGGAGGCTAGCTTGTTTTAAGCAATATAACTTTAATTAGCCTTATGTGTGGTATTGTTTAATGAGCCAGATAAGCACAATCTGCACATGTTCAGAAAAACAAAACTTTCCTTAGCCACACTGTGTATTGCCTAGGCGAGAATTACAGTACGTTAAAACAAAGCAAAATAAGGGTACTAATTTCATTTGGCATGCAAATCAATCATACTTACACACTTTAAAACAAACTAATCTACCAATAAAACCACCTGCTAGTTAAAATATAAGGCAAGTATGTTCAGAAATTTGATTTTAAATTGATGTGATTTTTTTTTGTAGTATTACAATGAACATCACATAGGCTAGCCTAGGACATGTCTAACCGCTTATAAAAATGCAGAAAAAAGACCAAAAAACAAATTAGAATGAGTTGTCAACTAACTAGTGCATTAAAATTATTCATATACTTACTACTTACCTATATAAAATTAAAATGTATTGCCACAAACGCCAATATTTTTGATTTTAATACGCCTTTTCCATGAATCGGTAGACATCTTAAAGTAATGACAAACAACCTGATTCAGTGGTGCGTAACAAACAAAACTAAGATAAGCTTTGAGGCTAAATTCATGACCTCATGTTATTGAAAAATTCATAACTCCATAACAGATGGTTGTATCACATTAAGTTTTTTTTGTAAAATGTTCTTAAAAGACTATTCTACACCACCGTATGATTGAAAAAAAAAATTGAACAATTTTTTTGACCTCTGAAATCAAGATGGAAAAAGAAAAGCCTATCAAATAGTGTATTATAATAGGCCTATACAGTACAGCATTAGGCCTATTCTAATACACTATTCAGATAGGCTTTTTTCCATCTTTATTTCAGAGGTCAAAACAAAAATTAGTCTTTACACCACACATGACTGACTGAACACATTGAAAAGCTTATTGTGACTATTCCAGGGAAAGCCAAATGTTCATTGCAGCTGCCATGTGTGTAGCTTGCAGCAATTTTAAGATATCGTGTGAACAAAAAATGGGGAGAAATGTAGAATAAGAAAAAAATAAAAAGATGTCTGACAATAACAAGAGTGGTAGCCTTATTTCACTGTGCAGTCACGTACCTGTCAGTTTCTTTACTGATTGACATGTATTAACTGGTATTATAACTGCTTTACCAAATCTTGTTATCTCTTGGTTTTTAGTAAGAGTTCATCTTGTATGCAAAGCCAAATGAACATCAAACTATGTTTTCTATGATTCAGCTTTGTAATAATACTAAATAATTTCATCATCATTGCATTGTGGAAAAAAATAAAGCTATTTGTATTTATATTTAATTTTGATTGACCTAAGCTGGTCATTGCAGCCAACATTTTAATGAGACCAACAATTTGAATTATCATTCATTTGGTGAAGCAAAAATTCTGTCTGACTTAAACCTGACCATATATTTTTTCTCTTAAAATAGAAATGAAAAAAATATCAACAGACTCATCCTCTAAAATGCTAAAAGGATATTCAAAACAATTCTTAATTATCCTTTTGTCAAGGAACCTTTATGGTTAATGCATTTTGAACATATCCTTTATACTCTATAGTATTTGATAACTGGATCTGGGATCTATCCTTCATGGTCTTACATAAGCATAATCTATCTCAAAAAAATTTTAATTTTTTTGCAGCACCTATTTTATGATCCTTACAGCATGCATCTCCAAACCCAGCTCCACATTTATTCCACAAACCAGTTTATCACAGAGCAAGTGTTAGCTCCAGGAAATCCAGATATGATTTTAGGCATTTCAGTTCCTTGGGCTCATGTCCTACTAATTTTCTTGGTTTAATTTTTTTTTTTTGGGTGGAGTCAATTGTAAAAATGTTATGTTCAACTGCTTCTGATTGACTATGTTTCCATTGAAGTTGTTCATTCATAAATTGCTCCCAACATTTTTTTTTTATGTCCTCCACATTATATATCATCTCATTCATCATTTATTTTGCAATAAACTACCCTTTAAATTCTTTAACCTGCACTTATTTTGTTGTTACTTATGATCTCTTGATTTTTAATAAAATGTTACATCTTGTAGGCTACTGTATGATTTGTAAAGCCAAATATTATTGTCAACAATGTACTACTGTAGCAATACAAAATAATTTCATTTTCACTTAATTTTGGAAATTTATAATTTTATTAGTAGTATACATGTTCATATTCTTATTTGATTGGCTTTGCTTGCTGCTGTTTTAATGAGATAAAAATATGATATGAATTACCAATCATATGATGAAAAAAGTCTATCTTGCAACATGTTTACCACATTTGTTTTAAATATCAATTTCAAAAGGTCAATCTGACGTAATAACTTCTGAAGATTTTCAATTAACTTAGTTGATACATTTTTAGAATAATATATTTGTCAATATCAAACAGATTGACATCTATTTATTTAATTGGTATTTGTGGGGGTTTTTTTTTTTCCCGAAACTTGTTATCTCTTGATTTTAAGAAGAGTTTATTTTCTATATATAAATTTAAACACTGTAACAATACAAAGTAATTTCATTCTCACTGTATTGTGGAAATTATGATAGAAATTATCTTTTATACAGTAAAAGCCCAATCAAATATTTTTATTGGATTGGGCTTTTCATGCTGCTGTTCTAATCCCAGGGTCCTGGATTCAATTCCTGCCACAGTAACAAAGATTTTTCTCACAAATAAAACACTAACCTCCCTAAACCTCATAATGAGACTCATGCAGAGCATCTTGTCTTGTTTGTCTTGTGAAGGGATAAGCAATTTAAAAAGAGTTTATATAAGTTTGCTGTTTGACATATCTGTCCTTCAGCCTAAACCAATTATTAAAATTTATGTTTTAATGAGACAAAGGCATGATATGAATTAACAATCATTTGATGAAAAAAGTTGTCTCACTTGCATTAACTTTTCCATATATTTTTTTAAAATAGGAAATAGGATTTATAATTGTGTCACTCTTTCAAAGGAAAATCTAAATTAATTCTTAAATATAATTCTAAAAACAGTGATGTTGCATTATATAGTGAATTTACTATGTTTTAATTTCAATTAATTTGGGTATTACATTTTGTTATATATTATTTTTAGAAATATTAAGCTGGGATTTTTCCTAAACATATTTTATTCTCTGAACATTTTAAAGGAAAATCTAAAGTAATTCCTAAGTATCCTCCTGAACAACTTGATGTTGGATTATCTGGTGAGTTTACTTACGTTTTTATTTTCAATCTTGGTTAATACATTTTGCTACACTGTATTAAACCGATTGTCATGTATTAAAGGGGGAGTGCGGCGATGAAATAATTAATTTTTAATTTAAAATAGAGGGATGGGCGACCACAACGACGGTGACGGCACTCGATTTTGGAGCGCGGTATTCGAAAACGAGGCTCGTGAACTGGGTCCCAAAAAAAAACTGGTGCTACAGGATTTTGAGCTAGTGTTATAAGATCTGTCTCTTATACACATCTAGATGTGTATAAGAGACAGGAAGGACAAACAAGTTGATACGATAATAAAGTAGACCTACTATGAGGAAGTATAGGCATTTCAAGTAGTACTTGGATCACAGAAGTATCCTCTAGTCTTACTTAATATACTATACTAACTTGTTTGCCCCTCCAAAATTGTGTACTGAAATTTATAATTTGAAATCAAGTGTATTTCTATATTAATTTATATTTATTTATTTAGAATAATTTGAATAATTTGATACCATGAACAGTATAGATCTACTAATCATCCTTAGAGGCCCTTGTACAATGGATGGTCACAGGATATTTTAAACATGATATAGTTGAATAATAATAATAAAGATTACCATCCAAACAACAAATTGTATAAAAAGTAGTTATTTATTATTGATGAACTGTTTATTAAAAAAAAACTGAATGTCATGTCATGTCAAAGAGAGAATTTTCTTTAAATTCTCAAGTAGTGACATTTAGTGGTTGATTTGTAAGTGTTCTTATACATTTAGGTTAATGTTTGTTAAGCACATTAGTCAAAGAAATCAGTCAAAATCTAGGATGACCATGTTGGGTTCTCCTATCGACTGCCCTAATGGGATCTCGAAGAAGACAACGGAAGAGATCTGAGATGTGTATAAGAGACAGGGTATCAAACATGCACATCAGCAATATCTTTAGACCATCTTTTGTAAATATTATTTTTTACTATTTTTAACTACCTTCTATTTGTAAAATTGTTGAACCTTGAACCTTAAACTTATCTTTAACTTGCCTTTTGACAATTGAATGACATTTTTGACGATTTCAACAAAAAGGACAAACAAGTTGATACGATAATAAAGTAGACCTACTATGAGGAAGTATAGGCATTTCAAGTAGTACTTGGATCACAGAAGTATCCTCTAGTCTTACTTAATATACTATACTAACTTGTTTGCCCCTCCAAAATTGTGTACTGAAATTTATAATTTGAAATCAAGTGTATTTCTATATTAATTTATATTTATTTATTTAGAATAATTTGAATAATTTGATACCATGAACAGTATAGATCTACTAATCATCCTTAGAGGCCCTTGTACAATGGATGGTCACAGGATATTTTAAACATGATATAGTTGAATAATAATAATAAAGATTACCATCCAAACAACAAATTGTATAAAAAGTAGTTATTTATTATTGATGAACTGTTTATTAAAAAAAAACTGAATGTCATGTCATGTCAAAGAGAGAATTTTCTTTAAATTCTCAAGTAGTGACATTTAGTGGTTGATTTGTAAGTGTTCTTATACATTTAGGTTAATGTTTGTTAAGCACATTAGTCAAAGAAATCAGTCAAAATCTAGGATGACCATGTTGGGTTCTCCTATCGACTGCCCTAATGGGATCTCGAAGAAGACAACGGAAGAGATCTGAGATGTGTATAAGAGACAGGGTATCAAACATGCACATCAGCAATATCTTTAGACCATCTTTTGTAAATATTATTTTTTACTATTTTTAACTACCTTCTATTTGTAAAATTGTTGAACCTTGAACCTTAAACTTATCTTTAACTTGCCTTTTGACAATTGAATGACATTTTTGACGATTTCAACAAAAAGGACAAACAAGTTGATACGATAATAAAGTAGACCTACTATGAGGAAGTATAGGCATTTCAAGTAGTACTTGGATCACAGAAGTATCCTCTAGTCTTACTTAATATACTATACTAACTTGTTTGCCCCTCCAAAATTGTGTACTGAAATTTATAATTTGAAATCAAGTGTATTTCTATATTAATTTATATTTATTTATTTAGAATAATTTGAATAATTTGATACCATGAACAGTATAGATCTACTAATCATCCTTAGAGGCCCTTGTACAATGGATGGTCACAGGATATTTTAAACATGATATAGTTGAATAATAATAATAAAGATTACCATCCAAACAACAAATTGTATAAAAAGTAGTTATTTATTATTGATGAACTGTTTATTAAAAAAAAACTGAATGTCATGTCATGTCAAAGAGAGAATTTTCTTTAAATTCTCAAGTAGTGACATTTAGTGGTTTATTTGTAAGTGTTCTTATACATTTAGGTTAATGTTTGTTAAGCACATTAGTCAAAGAAATCAGTCAAAATCTAGGATGACCATGTTGGGTTCTCCTATCGACTGCCCTAATGGGATCTCGAAGAAGACAACGGAAGAGACCTGTGGTAGGACGGAGCAGAGTAATGAAGCTAGCAATTGTAAGGACATAGATTCCAGAGATGCAGAGGAAATATACAACAGGCGAGCAGTCTAGTTATGAAGTGTTTCTTCTTTTATGTTGTGAATTGTATACATTTCTTTTGTTTGTTTTTTTTGTTTTTTTTAAGTTTAGTTTTTATTAATAATGTTATTTATGAAGTTGATTTTTAGTGAGAAAAAAAGAGCTATTGCTTGGTTAAATTTGATGTTGTTCTTTTAAAGTTTAAACTTTTTTCTAAATTGTTTGCATTGTATTTGTTAAATGCTAAAACTTGTTTTGACTTGACTTGTGCATGCCTGATTAAGTTCTTTGTTATTCTAACCAGGGACCTTATTAATAGGTCCATGTTCTAACGCAACGTCTAATGTCAATACACTATTGAAGCAGGCTATTTTAACAAAAATGAGTTGTTTTATTGTATCATGATCCTCTCTTTACCCTAATTCCCCCCTCTTCCCTCCATATCCTCCCATCACATCTGGTTCTCTATCAGAAACGAAAAAATAAACCCAAATGAATCATGTTTGAAAATAAATAATGTCAAATGTCACGTACCATTTACAGAGAAATAAGGTCATTTCAAATATTTATGTACTTTATATCTCCATGCCTGGATTACGGTGTATTGGGCAGATCAATGCATATACTCAGCCAGCTATAACCTCCCTGAACCTTTTATACCCGATCCACAACTGTGCTGCGTACATGAGGCTTGCCATCCCAAAACCAGCGTACCATTGCTAAATGTTAAACCGAGTAATTAGCATAAGAATGTGGCAGCATTGTATACTTAGTATAGACTAATTTATTGATATTTCCTAGTATTAACTAATTTTGGAGAGCGCCACCATCATCGGTTTATGTCAAGAAACTTGCTTTGTTGTTGAATTCTGATGCTAAAAAGTATACTATGTAACGCCAAGCAAATAAGTAATATGGAACGCCATTGGTGCCATAATTGATTTTGTTTTTTTCAAGCAATACAATACAATACAATATTTATTGGATTACACTTTCATAACAGTGGCACATGTTAGACAAAACCTAACGGTGCATCCAAAAAGGAACAAAAAGTAAGCAACAATAAAATGAAATTCTTAACTATAAAAAAGATTTGCACATTACTCAAACTACATTTTTGCACCCACCAATCAAATTAACACTTAAAATCAACTACAAACTAAACTAGATATGAACCCGTCACTAAGGACGAGTTAGGTGATCCGCTTCTCAGGTAAAAGAAATCTTTAGGCCCTTGAAAGTATGAATTATGGAAAAATAATGTCCGATCAATCACAAAGATCTCTATGATCATATTTAGAGGGGATTTCCAACAAACTTTCACGATCGCCTTTTTTTTCAATTTTAAGTATTTTGAGTTTATACAGATGATCATTCTAAGTAATGATTTTTTTTTTCAAATAAACTATTTAAACATTACTGTACATTATTGCCATTACTACTAATAAAGCATGTCGCATGAATGGCGGGGTCGGTAAGCATGTGTTCTAAATAACGTAAGGTAGATGTGTATAAGAGACAGGATTTGATGTCCTAGAGCAGCTTAGCTTTGGATGAGAGCAGCTTAGCTCAGTTGGCTAATCTGGTGGTAGCCACTGTGGGTGTGCGCTG